GATTTCGATTATTCGATTTTTTTCGTAAAGTTTTAGATCGAAAATTTTTATGAAGTAATCAAATGATAAAGGATTTTTCTTTCTTTTCATTATTTTTTTTTTTTATTTGAAATAATTTAACTGTGTGTTTTCTTTTTCATCTCATTGATGATATCGGACTATTTTTCTGTAAATCAAATATTGCGAATATTTTCGTTGGAAATTTTACTTTCTATATTCCTTTCTTTTTTTTTTAATTTCTTCAGTCCAAGATCCCTAATTTATTTGTTTTTCTTTCGTCAGAATTTAACTTTTCATCGTTTCGTCAATAAAGATAAGAGTTACATCAATACTCGCCGAGGAGGTTTTCACATTTCGAGGAAGAAGCATGATTATTCATTGTACGGCCGATCGATATTGCAGGATGATGATGTATCCGAAAGCGTGGAGCAGCCTGCTATAAATTATAACGGCGTATTAGGGTGTCGAGGCGCTCCAAGTCTCGGAGTATTGCATACATAAATGCATGCCTGGCCCTGTTGGGAGGAGACAATGCGCCGGACCTGGCTTCGTACAACGCTCAATAGGGATCGCTGAAAGTAATTTCGAAAATTTTAATACAATTATCGCACGCTTGACGCATAAATTTCTCTTCTTTGGAAAAGGAAAATATATTTATAAGTTTAATAAATAGAGAGAAGATTGAGAAAAATTGATATAATGATTATTAATGATTGCCAAGATTTTTTCTTCATTAGAAAACGTGATCGTTTCATTTGAGAAAAAAAAAAATTGCTATCATATTTTATTATTATTCGTTAATCGTTCTCGAAGAATTGTTCGAGAAAAGAAAAGATTCGAAGATCGCATCCTCGAGGATTTACTCGATCAAGCACGCGAAACGGTCGTTTAAACGAGCAATTTCTATAATTAAACAGAGCAAACTTATCGTCAAATTGCTCTGTTACGCCGAACGTTCTTCTCCAACGAGCCGTGCAACGAAGAGATATCTGCACAACCTTTAAAAAAGACTCGAAACGATCAAAGGAAGAACCATCGAGGCAAGTGCAACTGCGTGACCAGGTTAATCCTCGAGAAACTCGAATATCGTGTTTTACTATTGATCCTCTTTCCTCTCTCAGACTTCCCTTCCCTTGGACGAGCGTTGAGTTCGTTCTGGACCTCGTACAATCTCTAAAAACAGAAAGAAAAAAAAAAGACAAAGAGGTTATAAAAAAAGAAGAAATATTAAAAGAGTTCAACTCTCTGTCTCGATGGATTTTCTTCTTCAATTAACAATCCTCTTAGTCAAATATTTATAATGTGATATTCGAGTTAATTGCGAGGATCTTCTTTTTTTTTTCAAGACGCGCTGCCGCCAGACGTTCTATATCTCCATCCTGCTTTCCCGAGAAAAGTTTTTATTCTCTTTGTCGACGCGAATCTAACTAGTTACTATTTACGCCCACGCGTAGCGCCAGCGTCGATGGCCCCCCTGAATCCATGTCGAGAATTCGTCCGTAATTCACGAGTCGTGGCCGCGGAATCGCGAGAATGCGAGATAATTAAATGGAATTCGTCCAGCTCGCGTATAACTCGATACATCGAATCTTTTGATAGTATTAACCTCGTTAAAGTTCATCATCCTCTGATTCGTCTTGTATTTCTCGAAAGTACATCATCTCCAAGTAACATATATTTCCATGATCGATTTTCTAGATTTTCTAAATTATTAAATTTAAATAATCAAATCAACCGATTCTCAGCATTTTCATGAATTTTTAATAAAAAAAATAATATTAAGAAAATTATGAAAAATAGGTTTTCAAATCAGTCGAGCAGACTTTTTGGAAGAATATTTGGATAAATATCGATTGAAATTTTAAATTGTATGAAATTAATAAGATAATAAATATTACTGTGCAATCTATCTATAATGTAGTATTCTTAGACAAGGCAGATCCTCGCAAAAACTGCTAATTAAAATTATCTGATAATCTTCGCCTCGAGGAGGCCAGATGAAATACAAATTCGAATCGTAGGGAATAAAGGAGACAGGCATCGAATGTCTCGGGCCATTCAACGGAGGATAACCAATTTTCGAATAACGCGTGCTTCAAACTCCCATAACGAGGATTTAAGGATCTTCACCGCAACTCCCCTCGTTTTCTTTCTCTTCCCTTTTTCTTTTTTCTTTTTTTCTTCTTCTTTTTCTCAAGAGAAAAGCATCCGCTCGAAACTTTTGATTTCTGAACTGATTACTCTTACCCCGAGAAGAGATCGTCCTCTCTTTCCCAGAAGTCGAGTTTTCTATCTTCAATTTTTCTTTTCCCATTTCTTTTTTCTATCTCTCTTTCTCTCTTTTTTTATCTAATCCTTTTAATCCAACGGTATCAGCCTCTGACACAGTTCCGTTATATTAATGGCGAGGATGGAATTAACGAGTTCGTTTGAACGACGAGACGCGCGACAGCCTAGCAAAAGCAACGCGTGCAGAAACTGACGAAATTATAATGACCCTCGACGCTTGCTCGCGCATCCTCCCCTCTCCCTTTTCTTAGGGAACTCGTCCTTGCCAGATGAATCGCCATTCCTCTTCGACGACACGCGTCGTTAAACGTTTCCATTAATTCGAACGTGTAATTTCGACTTCCACTTCTTCTTTTTTACATGAGAAATGATCGGTGCAATCGTCCAATAGTATGCTTGTTTAATCCATAAAGAAGAAACTCGTGTTGATGAAAAGGTATCAAGTTTTTTCTAGATCTTCCGAATATATATTTGATTTGCCAAGAAAACAATATAAAACAATTCGTCATTTTAATACCGTGTCGATTTTGATCACTGGAAAATGAAATGAAAGTTCGTATAATGTAGAAATGAAATGAAATAATAATGGAAAAATTTTGAAAATTTCATGCATCGTTATAATAATAATAACGTATGAGAAACCTGCAAATTACATTCGTAAGATTTCTTAGATATAATTATAGAATGACTAGAATGGAAAAATCACAAACCTCAAAATAGCGTGAAAATAATTACTATTTATGCCCACGCGTGGCGTTAGTATCGATGACTCTCTGAATCCATGCAGACGTACGTCTCGAGAGTTGGTAACTCGAAGAACGAAGTAAAAGTTAGAAAGAATGTGCGTTAATCCAAAATTGCAGTGTTTAGGAACTCGTAAGACAGTTGCTTGTGAAAACAGAATCACAAAGAAAGTCCTCGTCCAACTATCAAACATCCGGCAAACGAAATTCCTTTTAGCATGGAACGTCCGCAAATATCTTGCAGATATTATTTAGAACGCCTTCAACCGTCTTGACAATTTTACTCGGGTCGCGAGAGAAAGAGAGAAAGAGAATCCAGAGGAACTGGTACGACGAGGATCTTTAGCTTCAGAGAACGAAGAATTTTGAAAGTTTCATCGACGACACGAGAGCCAAGGTGTTTCCACTTAAATCGCGCGCTGCACGCCGTGTTTGCCTCTATCATTTTCAGAGTACCGTCTCTCATTTCAGACGTCTTTGAGTAAGTTTTCCTTCTCCTCTCCTGGTCTGAAAACCTGGTCTTGAAGAGGTCCTACCGGCGTAACTGTGCAGTCGCTCACAAGAAGAAGGTCAGCTTAATAGGCTGCCAGGTTACACAGCAAAACCGTTCCCCTTCGTATGCGCGCCCCCTTATTTGCTTGCGAAACGTTGCTCCCGATCTTGAACCATGGGAAAATCGCTTGGCTTATTTTTAGCTCGAAAATTTAGGAATCTCGATTAACGTGAACGCTGAATCGACGAAGTAGGTAAGATTTCTTTTTGTTTTTATTATAGTAATTTCACGGTTTATTTTTCATTTCGTTTTGATTTTTGATTGAGCATTTGGGTTTAGGAAAATTTATTATTAATTTCAGATGCTTGAGTTCATAGTTACGAAGATAGGAATTTGTATTATTGGTGCAAGTTGTGATCTGTGACACGAATCGAAGAAGTTTTAATTGTTTGAATCATTGATTGTTCTTGTGATCATAGTACAGAATTGAGTAAATTCTAATAAAATAATTCTGATAAAATATAAAAGATAATATTGGCCAAGATGCGCAAAACTATGCTCGATCGATCAAACAGGAGTGTTAACTCGTTTCCAAACTCTTAATTGTTCGAATCGACTCGAAGAAACTTTTCTTTTTAATTGAAAGAAATCTGGACTATCTTTGGCCAAAAAATGAAGAAAAATGTTACTTTGATACATTAATGAAAAGAATTTTAGTGAAAAAATAATTATTGTGAAATCATTTTTAATAAGATAATTTCACGATTTTAAATAAAAATTCAAGTCTCTATCTCTTTAAAAATTTTATCAATTCGTATCTTCATTAATGATTTATATATCTTATCGAAAAATACGTAACTGTAATGCGTAAGTAGCGTGAAACATATGTTAATGTCAATGCGCTTTTCATATGCAATGCATTTGTTGATGTTTACTTAAAGGATGGGTGACCGCCTTTTTTTCAGATTCGCCGCCTTTCATTTTATCATATATATTTCATCTTCTTGCAATCAATTAATTTAATCACATTCTTTGAAAAAGAATTAATTGTGATTTTCATTGAATTTTGAGAGAAATAATTTCATATTTTAAGACATAAAGAAGTCTTTGTCTAATCAAAAAAGATGGTTTTTTAAATCTAGGGGAAAAAGGAGGAGGAGAAAAGATATAAGGAAAAAGAAAGCAATATATTCTATAAAGAAAAAGAAGCTTTTCTAATAAATAAAAATTCTTAATGAAAAAAGTAAAGAAATTCCACTAAATAAAAAATAGAAAATAAAGTAGAAAAATTCTGGCAATAAATAAAAAAGTTTTGGAAAAGTCTTCAAAAAACAGAATTGTGCAACAATAGAAAAAAATTGTTGATAAAAAAACAGAACATTAAAAAAGAGGGAACTGAGGAAATAAATAAAAGAAAAAAGAAACAGAACAAAGATATTTAAAAGCGTGTATGGAATTCATATTAAAAAAGAAGAATATTAAAATTCGAATTTTAAAACAATAAAAAATACAAGGAGAAAAAGTATAAAGACAAAAAATATCAAAAATGAAAGAAATAATAAATGCATCATAAATTACAACATAAAATTTCATTTTTAATGGACATCAAAACTTTGTATCTTCTATATGATCAAAAAATATCATCAAATACTTTCATCAAAATTTCCTTTCAACAAAATCTACCCCTAATATTGAGAATGCATGTAATCCACACTAATCATTAAACAAAAGCCAAACGCAGCAAGTTGCGTCTTCACTTCCAAGTTTCAAAATATTCTCATATTAATTTCTCACGATTTTAGATGCTGTTAAGATACGAGAATCCTCGAGAATCTTTGGCAAATAAGTTAAAGCTTATATATTCGCCAAGATTTGCGAAGGAAACGCGATTAAGATGGGGGGGAGACCGGTGAACTGGGATATAATGAATCGTGACAGTTGGTGGACTTATATACTTATAAAGATCTGCGTATTACCGGATTTCCGGACCACGTTCCAACATCATCCTCTCCCAAGTGTACAGATCCGGAGAATTATGTCGCAAACGCGCTTGGCCTCGTTCCCTTTATTACTTATTTCAGAACGTAGCGCGTCATAGACAATAGCAATTTGCACTGACAACACCGAACACAGACTATTTTTTTTTTTTTTTTTTCCCACTGGAAACTAAAGTAATTTCAAAACTGTGTTCAGTACTTTGCAAAAAGTTTTAGACAAAAGTTGAGGGAATGGTTTCGAGAGAGATAAATTATATAACTGTAATTATATACGAAGTAGATAACGCGCGAAGATCAAGTTCGTTTTTTTCTCCCCAATGGAATCGCGTGTTTCTCTCAATGGATTGGAAAAATATCTTATATCGTTGAGGGAAAATTGTTCGAACGACAAAATTTCCGTTTAATTCTTAACGATCTCGACAAATATAATGAAATATTAAATAAATTCATCTTGAAGTACTTAAAACTCGAATCGATTCGGTGCAATGGGATGGGTGGGGGACATTCGAGTCGAAGGACGGCGATATCGTTTTCTTTTCGGATCGATCCTTCTCGTGTATCCGTTGTTTCGACGCGTCTCAGGGGGGGG